ATTATTAAGGCCCCTATATTATGTTAAATCTTGCAGCGCCAACAAGACTTCACCCAGCTGAGCCGGGGGCCATGAGAATGGCAATCTGCTGCACCTCGGGATTTAGGGTGATTAGTGTTAGGGCTTTCTGGGTTTCGAGTCTTGTTGCTTTGAACGGGCGCCATAACCAGCGGCAGAATACCGGAAACCGCCCTCAGGCTAGAAGAAAGGTTCAGACCCGCACTAAAGCCGAGATCCTTAAAAACTGAACACCAGACCCGACTGAACCCTAACCCTAAACCCTAAACCACCCAAACCCTGAACCGTTACCTGAGAAACCCACACATTCCTAAACCTGAATGCACCTGGAACAGCCGCAGTCCCAAAGCCCGAACTCTGAACAGCTCAAACACCTGATCATTAGCCTATCACCCTAAACCCTAAACCCTAATGTAAGGGCCTCAATAATGAGCACTACTTTGTTTTGGGGGGGATCCCTTATTCTGCTTAGTATAGTAATACCCCAAGACAATGTAGGTCAATGTAGGTCTTCTGGCGGGGAAGGGGAGTATGTAGAAAAACATATATATATATATATATGTATATATATATATATGTATACCCCATATATACTGTAGTAGAAACAGAACAAGAAACCCGAAGCTACAGCTTTTAGCGGCTTCGGCGGCTTGGGGAAATAGGCTTGTGATATGACGACTGTGAAATCGCTATGCAAATGCGTTCGGTGTAGAGTTATGTATAGGTAGCTGTAACTGTTTGATAAATCCTCAAACTGCTTTAAGCATTACCTTAACTACACTATGGGCTCAACTTGAACAATAATTTTCTCCTCGACCTTCCCCTATACTTAATGTAAAGCTGCAGCACGGGGCTGGCAACGCCAAACAATAAGGGTCAACTTGCCAAACCCGACACCCAAAGCTAAACCCCTCGACCCTGCAGGCTGGGCCAAAGAAGCCCTAAAACCTAAGCCCCTAAACCCTAAACCCTAAACCCTAAACCCCTAAACCCTAAACCCTAAACCCCTAAACCCTAAACCCCCCAAGACCGAGCTCGCCACGATCTTGATTCCCGTATGTCGGGCTTGCCAGCTCTTCTTCGACTGGCAGACCTTTTGAGATCTACTGGTGGTTTTAGGGTGCTTAGGGTTTAAGGGTTAGGATTTATGCCACTTTAGGATTTCAGGCTGCGTGATTTTTAGTGGCTTTGGATCTTTGGATCAGGGTTCCGGAGCTTAGAGATCATGACTTTGGTGTTCAAGTGTTTAAGTCTACTTGCAGGGTCTAGAGCGAAAGCAGGGAGATTGTCCAAAGGTTGCTTCAGAGGGCGGGCCAGTGGCAGCTAGGATGTTTGGCTTTTTTCGGATGTCTTCGGCTCAGCTAGTTCTTGAACCCTAAACCCTAAACCCTGAACCCTGAACCCTAAACCCTAAACCCTTAAACCCTAAACTCCTAAATCCTAAAGCGTGAACTAGCAACACTTCCACACTTTCGAGATAATGCCCCGAGCCCTGGACCTTCACGGCCCAGACTGGCAAAGCACAAGACCCTTGATATAGGGGCCTTAATAAGTAGAATGGGGTTTGGGTTTAGGGTTTAGGGTTTATGGTTTAGGGTTCTGGGGGCTTGATATAGGGGCCTTAATAAGTAGAATGGGGTTTGGGGGCCCATTATAACTATAGTTATAATAATGAACCCCCCAAAATATCATCGGTAAATTACTACCCATAGGCCCCTTACATAGTAGTTCCCTTTTGGGATTACCTATATACTAGGATCTTAAATATAAGCCACAAAAAGGAACTATGGGTAAGGCCCCCTATAATTACGTTGACTCGAAACTGAAGCCTTGAGATTAGGGTGCAGGCGTTAGGGCTTGCGGCAACAAGATCCGGAGGCTATGCATACCCAATATATACGTACTATACTTATAAGTTACCTAAGTACACATCTATACACAGATTCGTTTTTTGATTTGTAACTATAGATAACCACGGTGAGAATGACAACGGTTGTGATATCACTTTGTGGAATCTGGTTCCCTTGTCAGCATGTAGGACCATGTCCATGACAACGGCCCTAAACCCTTAACCCTAAATCGCTTTGGGGAAGGTTGGCATCAGGGCCTTGCACATTGAACCCTACCCAAGACCCAACACTCAACACCCGAAACCCTACCTATAGTTTAGGTTTATACTAGGGTGTAGGGTTTTTTGGTGTGTAGTCTCCATTGTAGTTCCATTTCTTGTTCAACCAGCTTTTTATAGTTAGGATCCTGCAAGGTACCCCCCAAAAAACTACAACAGAGACGATCGGTAAACCCTCAAAGCCCTAAACTCTAAACTCTAAACCCCCTTCAACCCCAAACACTGGGAGGTGCACAGCTCGGAGGAAGAGGAGCAAGCTGGGAATGCCCAGAGCGGAAGCCACCACGGCGAAGGCCCTGGGTCAATGGTACTATTGACATCAGGCGGGGTTTAGGGTGTAGGGTTTAGGATTCAGGGTTTAGGATTTAGGGTGCAGGATTTAGGGTGTAGGACTTACGGCTTAGGATGTAGAGTTTGGGGTTTAGGGTTTTGGGCGGTAACTAGCGGTTTAGGGTTTGGGGCTGCAGGAGCCCATCCCATCTTGGGCTACAAGTTGTGCTTGTCTTGTGGAGGAGCTGCACAAAGACCTCCGGGATGTTGGGCACAGGGTTTAGGGTTTAGGGTTTAGGGTTTAGCACACTGCGTGGCTTCAAGTTCGTTGAGAAGGCATGCATCTTTGCTCCCAACCTTCGAGGATTGAGGCGAATCAGGGCCAAGTTTAGCATCACCCTCGTCATGCTTATCAGCATGATGTTGTTCTTCATCTAACTTCACAGACCTTAAACCCGAGACCCTTATCCCCAAACCCGACCTAAACCCCAAATAACCTACCTTTTTTAAGGCCTTATATGAAGAAATCATGATAAGGAACCCTACAAAGGTAGGTTCTTTGGGGTCCAGGTAAGCCCTAAACCCTCACCCCCGAAATCCTAGCTTGCAGAGGGCACCCTCAGGCATGCAGGATGCGCCTGGCCGTGGTGTTGCGCACGTACCTGTTCATGCTTAAAGGATCGTGGGACTGAGCAAGTCAGGCTATAAGTACCCCAATTGGGGTTATAAATAGGTATATAGTTCCAAGTAGTTCCTTTTTGGGATTACCTTATAGGATTCTAAATACGAACCCAAAAAAGGAACTACTATGGGGCCTATGGGTAGTCTCCATTGTAGCTCCTTTTTTGGTTAACCAGCTCATGGTTCGGACCCTATAATATCAACTTGGTTAACCAGAAAAAGGAACTACAATGGAGACTGAAAGTACTATAGGTACTTTTTAAACTTACGTACGTACCTACTAAGTCCCCTGCTGCGTTGAGCCTGGGAGCTCCAGACAACTAGTGTGCCTTTAGGCGTAGGGTTTAGGGTTTAGGGTTTAGGGCTTAGAGCTTTAAAGATTTGGGGTAATGAGGGTCGTTTTGTGAAGCTTCCGTCGGGACCCTACGGCAGGCAATGTACCCTGAGCCCTACACCCATTGGGACCCGTGGAACGACGACTTAGCGATTCCCGCGCTGGAAGGTGGACAAAGCTCAAGCTTCGTAACTCCCAGCAATCAGGGTTCAGTAAGGGTTTAGGAGGCGGGGTTGACGGATCGCGGGCTTGCGGTGCTTCTAGTATTGCGGCAAGGTGCCTCATGTTCAGTCAGAGCTATGTGACAAGCCGGGGGCACTCGTCCGCGTGGTCAATGTCCGGTCTCATGGTGGAAATCATAGTAGCTAGGCCTGCCAGCAGTTTAGGGTTTCGGGGTTTAGGGTTTAGGGTTTAGGGTTTAGGGTTTAGGGTTTAGGGTTTCGGGGTTAGGGTTTAGGGCTTCGTGATAATCGGTAATTGCGTTCCTTCTCTGACAGTTCGGCCAAGTCTCGAAACCCCTAGGCTGCACCCCCCCCCCTCGTCGCATACACATTTAGGGTTTAGGGTTTAGGGTTTAGGGTTTAGGGTTTACGGTTTAGGGTTTCATTATCCCATGTCAGGATGGACAACCGACTCCCCTCCTCATTCCCTGGACCTAATCCCGTAACCTTCAAACCTGAAACCCTGAACCCTAAACCGTGATCACAAGCCTGCAAGCCCTACCCCCAACAAGCTCCAACCCGGAGGTGCCCAGACCCCCAAACTTCATGGCTTATACGTACAAACCTCAACATGTTGCGGCTTCACAATCAGAAATGGTTTCTGGGGTTGTTTATCATACTAGAACTGTAATAAGTTCTAAGGAACCCTGAAGAATAGCATCACCAACTATTCAGGAATCTCTACTCACCTCATAGACCCAAGTCCCTGAAACCCTGACACTCAAAAGCTGTCGTTGACATGATGCCGTCGGGGCACCAGGAAATGAGGGCGACTCGTGGCTGTAAGGTTTAAGGCACAGGGTTGAGGGTTTAGGGTTTAGGGTTCACAGGTCGTCAGGGGCTTGCTATTTGTGGCTGTTTCAGTGGTTCGGGGCTTTAGGTAGCGAGGTCCCAGAAATATATCGCTAAGCAAAGCTCGGTCAACTACACTATAGGCATGTGGGCCCATGGACGTAATTGAGGGGTAGAACCCTGTCAACCCAAAACCCCAAACCTCAACCCAGAATCGCAACCCTTAACGCTAAATCCATGAGCACAAGGCCCTCTGTTTTCCGGGTGCGCTAGTCCATCTCGTCCAGCTGGATGCGGAGGGGCACATCCTCAAAAGTTTTCTGTTGCGGTTTCGGGCTTCAGGCTTTCACAGTCGGGACTGTTCTTGGTGGCCTGTTTTAGGCTTTCAAGTTTAGGGTTTGGGGTTTCGGAGCTTTCATGTTCTATTGGCTTTTGAGACTATGCTGGGCTAGAACGAATATGTCGTCAGAACGGCCTTGTTTAGGTTTATAGGATTGTTTGAAGGTGGACGGCTTCTTGTTCAGGGCCCGGGGTCCAGGGCTTAGCTTGCCACATCCTGGCTGTTGGAAGCTGATGTTCCCTCCAAGCAACTGTGCACTGCTCTATAAACCCTAAACGCCTAAACCCTATGGCTCTATGAGGACGTGTAGGCTTTGTTGGTTCGGGGGTTGGTTACGAAGCCCTGGTTCCCTTCCCAGCACCCAGCTCTACGAAGTGGTTCATGTTGCATACAAGGAACCGAGGTTGAACCAGCAATTTGGGCCCTAAGTAGCTTAAAACCTCATAGGCCCTAAGTTACAGCGAAGGGCTTCGGGAGGTGTTTTTGCAGATATATAGGTTGTCCGGCTTTGAACTATCCGACCTCCCGACCCCCTGTAGCCTCAACTTTCGGGTCTCCCGGTTTTGCTACGGCTGCGGCCACAAGTGTTCAAAAGGACAGAAGGCTTGAGCTTTTAACTCCCAGGTCCCCACACCAAAAAAAAAAGAAAAATGCCTGAGCTGCAAACCCTTTGGGTTTCGGGTTCAGGGTTAGGGGTTTAGAGTTTAGGCTCCCCTCAAAGATCCTAAACCCGACCCCTCTCAACCCGATACATGGCTGAGCCATTATAAGACCTATGCTAACAGGTCAAAAAAACTAGTTTAAAAAGATAGAAAAACGGTTTAAGGGATCAAAAACAACGATTCCTCAATTTATAGGCAAAAAAGAGAGGAGGCAGGCTAATTTAAAGATCAAACAAAATATTTTAAGGATCAAAAATTTTGTTTGCAAAATACAGAGGAGGTAGGGTAATACGTGTGCAGGTGGAGGGTGCAGGTGGAGGGTTTGCCCTCATTTGCAAACACAATGCTCGCATGATGAGGCTCTTGGAAAGGCTTCATGAAGGAATGTCCGTTGACGGCTTGCCCCACGTTTGCTTCCGGAATCCCGTCAGTGCGTGGGAAAACATTTTGTCTGGCCAACAGAACCCGCTAGTACTCGGGGGAAAATCCTTCTGGCCGAGCGTGAAAACCTTGCCTCCGTGCCTGAAAATCGCCAATACTTGGGCCCACAACCTTCCGGGTAAAGCCTGCTTCAAAAGCCGTAAGCCCAGAATCCTTGCAGCGGAACCTTAACGGTAGAAGCCTTGCAGAACGCTCAAGGCTAGAATGATGTTTGAACCCTTATAGAGTCCTTTAGAACCCTTGCTAAAAATAGTTGATGCTTAGAGAAACTCCTCTAAATGCCCCGGAAACCATTTTTAAAGGCTTAACCCTCCCTGCAAAGCATCTGATACCCCCCCGCCCTCCACCCTCTTTCTCGAGCCGGCCAAAAGCCCAAAATCCACCCTCTTAAGCCCCGAAACCACTGAAATCACTAAACCCGAAACCCTAAACCCCATGCAAACCCTAAACCCGAACCTTAAACCCTCTAAAGCCCCCCAAAAAACCCAGTGCACCCGAGGGTCGTGGGCCAAGCTCGCCAGGGCCTCCGCTATCGCTGCAGGCTCGATTTCGAAGTTCATCTCCTCTTGGCTCGGGCTCCTTTAAGGGTTTAGAGCTTAGGGCTTTAGGGGTTTGGGGCTTTAGGGCTTTAGGGCTTTAGGGCTTTAGGGGTTTCGGGCTTGGGGGTCTAAGGGTTCCTTCAAGGGCTTCCCTTTAAGTTGGGCTCCTTGACATACAAGCTCAATGGAGTTACAGGGTTCTACTTAGTTAGGCCTTTATAAGGCTTCCTGCGGCTATCGCAAGCCCGCCACCTTTAGCGCATAGATCAAGCCAACAGGAGTCCTGAAACTCTCCCAGAGAACCCAATACGCCTTAATTAAGGAATATACTTTAAATCATAATATTAAGGCCCCTATAATTTAAGGTATCTTCCTTAATTCAGGGATATTGGGTTCTCTGGGCTACCACAGCTCCTGGTACAGCTTTGGAAGCCACTGACGCACGTCCGCCTCATGGTCGGTGGTTTGACGCGTGGCTTTTCACTTTTGGCGTTTTAGCGCAGGCCGTGGATTGAGGCTTTAATGAGGGTTTTTAGAGTTTCAGATGGTATCAGGATTTAGGGTGTGTAGGGTTTTAGGGGCTTCGTTCAGGGCCTAAGTTTACGCTTGTGTTGCCGGAGAGTACGGCTTCAGGGTTCAGAAGTTGCGGATCAGGACATCCCGAAGATCGGGACCATGCCAGCCCCCAAGGGCTAGGGTTTAGGGTTTAGGGTTTAGGGTTTAGGGTTTAGGGTTTAGGGTTTAGGGTTTAGGGTTTAGGGTTTAGGGTTTAGGGTTTAGGGTTTAGGGTTTAGGGTAAGCCCTAAACTAAACCGGAACCTAAACTAAACCGGAAGCAGTAAGCCCTAAACTCGAAGCTCAAAGCCACAAGCCTTCAACCCTGAGCTTTAAACCCTGAGCAAATCCGACTATTCAGGCCTCTATGCCAAAACCACAAAGAGGCGACAAGCCGTGGACACATCGAAGACATAAATCCTACGCGAGCGTGCCTGGATCTCTTTGGTCAGCCAGGAAGCCTACCGGAGCTTGTGGGTTTGGGGTTTAGGGTGTCAGGGCTGTACTGCAGGATTTTTATCATGTTGCGGTTTAGGATTTTGGGGGTTCACTGCAGGGAGTAAGTCCTCTGGGCGAGACTGAGGGGAGGAAAGAGGCCTGAGGTTTCACTGCCTCCCTGCTGTGATGGCTGTGCTGTTTTTGTGCTCCTGGAAGGCTCGGGGTACTTATAACTTATCTACGACTGGACTTGTGCCCAAGCAAAACTTTGGCATCTAGACATCGGGGACATATGACCGGTGTCTCAATACAACCCTGTTGAAATTATCTGAATATCCAAGCATCCATGACCCGGGGTGCAAGGTTGCCCTTTCAGACGAATTTTGCAATAAGGTACCCTCAAAAATTAAAAAACTTCTTGCTAGCTACTGGAGAACAAAGACGAAGCGGCCGCAGCCCAATAATTGCCTCCACAGCCGCATATTCTGCAGGCATTGGCGGCACTCAAAGCACACGGGGTCATAAAGGGCATCCTATGAATGCAGAATGGGCTCTCTGGAAGCCTATCTTGAAAGATGAACTTGATTAGGACGCCACGTTTAAACTCAAGCAACGCATACTATTACCACAAGCCCCTATTATCTTGTTCCCCGACAGCAACGCAACTGAAAACCTGCGTCGCCTCAGGACAGAGCTCGATGGAAACATCGACGAAGTTTGCGGCCCCTGCGACGACGGAAGCGGCGGAGATCCTTGAGCTCTGGCACTTCGATCAGGCAACTGCATGCATGGACAAAAACTAACGTAAGCTTCTACTTCTACGAACAGCTTTCCTGAAATGCAAACAATCTCTAGGCAAATCTTCAGCCCCAAGCCGTTTTAACGGATGGGAGGGACCAACCCTGAGTCAGACGGTGTAGAATGGAGGCTTTGAAGTTTAGAATCTAAAAGTTAGGGTTTAAGGTTTACTAAAGGCTTGCAGAGATCCCCAAAACCAAATTTTGTTGGCAATCTTAATACAAGGACTTATGGCTAAGAAAAGGGCTTATGGGTACATTCCAACCAAGAGTGTGGTGGGATGGTACTGCCAGTCAATCATCTAGCAAGCCCAAGCCCAAAACCAAAAACCCTGAACCCTAAACCCTAAACCTCAAACCCTAAACCCTAAACCCTAAACCCTAAACCCTAAACCCTAAACCCTAAAATGTAAAAGATCCCGAAGAACTGAAAGTCGGGATACGGCAATGGGAAGCCACCATCGAGACGCACCAAGGACAGCTCTGCCTCAGCCGCTGTTGTTGTTGGCTTCGGGATTCGGCCCGAATCTAGTCCATTCTGCGTTTTGCGTTCGGGGCGGCGTAAACCCAGAATAGACTACGACCCGACCCAAATCGCCAGCATTGGAACGAATTTGGGCCTTCGAAGCAGGGATTCCGGAGCTCGTCTAGTCTACTCTGCGTAATCGCCAGTATTGGAACAAATTCACCTGCCCGACATGAGTGCTTGGCGCCACAGGGAAATTTTCGGCGCTGCTTGAGAGGAGCTGGCGCTGCTTTTACGAAGCTGACATGGCTTGGCAGCTTACTTGTTTGTAGTGGGGCTTCAACACCTTTTGATTAGGATTTGAAAGCTTCAAGGTACAGAGCTGCAGATGCTACTGAGGCCACAAGCCCTAGTCTAGTTCTCTATGCCATAAACCTTACACTCGAAGTCCACGGATGGGGTGATGAACACATCTGGCTGCAAAACCTGAACCATAAACCCTAAACCCTAAACCCTAATCTGGCTGCAACAGAACCCTCATTCTTTCTGTTCAGTAGGAGCCTGGGAAGTCTGAATGGCCTCTATCTTCTATAAAAAAAATGGCTGTACCTATAGGGTTTAGGGTTTAGGGTTTAGCCTTTAGGGAATTATTGTTTGTGTGCTTTAGAAGTGGGACTGCCCTAAGCCCCTAAATCCTAAACCCCCATACCCTAAACCCTAGATCTCAAACGCAAAAAAGTGTGTGCCAGACGCGATCCGGCCACAGACAGCAGCTTTGCATGGGCCTGGCAGAGAGATCAGGTAGGGTTTCGGGTCCTGACCCCTAAACCCGAAACCCAAACCCCGAAACCCCAAACCCTAAATCCTAAACCCCAAGCCATAGCCCAGGAATTTGGGGGTTTCGTCGGGTTCTTCGACCCAGGGTGTGCGGCTTAAGGTTTACGGTTTAACGTTTTTAGGGTTTCGGTTTTAGGATTTACATAGTGTTTAGGGCTGAGGGCTTAGGATTTACGGTTTAGGGGTTGGGGGTTGCGTCTTTGGGTTCAGGGGCTTTCGTTATTTAGGGTTCGCTTGGTGTGGACGGGCTTACGAGTTCTACAGGGATTACTAGTTAGCTTAATACAGCGCGCTTAATAATTAGAATAGGGTTTTGGGGCCCATTGTGCTACACTTCATATAAGGCCCGATATGGTATGGGTAAATATTACGGTCCCCACATAACTAGCTTACTGCGTTCATAGCATGCAACATGCTCTGGGCTATCCTCTGGGCTTGAATGTGCTTTTGGAAGGAAGGCATGATTCATAGGAGCTTGAGCCGTTAGACTCGGGCTCCTACAAACTTCAACAGTGTGTGGCTTGGCATGCTTTCAAGAATACCTGAAAGCTCAGAAACCTTAGCCACAAACCATTTCCTGCACGAAATCCTAAAAGTCTTTTGGGCCACAGGTAAACCTTAAACCCTAAGCCCCAAAGCCTCAACCAAGGGAATGCTGTTGCTCCAAAAAACCAGACTGTTACAGATAATGCCTTAATCCGCCAACCCTGAGTTCCAAAAACCTCGCCGCCAAAATATCCTGAACTCTGAGCCGTGAACACTAAGCCCGAAAAAAACACGGCTCCTGGAAATCCAGAAAACAAAACCCTTACACAACAATGCCAAGTAGTGAAAACAACGAAAATGCCTAAATCCTCGCAAGCAGCGGCTTACCAAACAATGCTCAATGTGAAAAAACAAACAACATCCTGAAACAAGGCAAAAACTAAATGTACACATGCACATGGACCCAAATAGACATATATCCCCCTGCGCATATGTATGCATGTATGTATGTATGCATCATGCATGCATGCATGTATGTATGTGTATAATGTATAATGCAAATACTATATCTATATACCGTATATACACACTCTCAGCCCTGATGGAAACCTGCATCAAGAAAACCAAGCCGAGGAGCCATCGCCCAGTGCCTCGGCGAAAGCACGGGCTCGTGCTGCTTCCGCCATACCTGCCGCAAGCTACCCTGTAGGGTTTAGGGTTTAAGGGTATAGGGGTTTAGGGGTTGGCGTTAGGGACTCGGGGGTTTAAGGGTTAGGGTTTTGGGGGTTAGGTGTTTAGGGGATTAGGTGTTTAGGAGTTTTAGGCCAGAGGCTTATGCAGGGACCCAACAGGCTGCAGAAGTTTTATAATTTCGAGTTCAGGATGCTGAACTAACTTCAGGGTTGTGCTTTCGGCGTTTAGGTTTCGGGGCCATGGGGTTTTGGGGGAGTTTAGGGAGTATGGTCTCACAAATCAGGTTTCTGTCCGCCCCCTCTTCGCAAAGCTATATATCCCGAAACCCGATGGCCATCGATGACCCCAATGACCTGCTAAAATCAATCGAAATACAATGGCAGGGAAGCATCCCAGATTGTTGAGGGGATGCTTCAATCCCAAACACTATACCCTAAACCCTAAACCCTAAACCCTATACCCTAAACCCTAAACCCGGGATGCTTCTCTTTCAAGCTCGAAGGAAGAACTGGCTTCGAACGGAAGATGGGAACAATGCTGGCCGATCCTGTCGAAGCCTCCAGGCCCTAAACCCAATAAACCCTCAACCCTATAAACTTTAGGGTTTTAGGGTTTAGGGTTTAGGGTTTAGGGTTTAAACCCTATACACCTATAAACCATAAACCCTATACACCTATAAACCCTAAACCCTATACACCTATAAACCCTAAACCCTATACGCCTGTAAACCCTAAACTCTAAGCCCTATCAACCTATGAACCCTAAACCCTATAGACCTGTAAACCCTAAACCCTAAACCCTATCAACGTATAAACTCTAAGACCCTAATACGCTACTGGGGATCCCTCGTTTCGACGATCGTTCTCTGACTCTGGCTTTCCGAAGCGCTAAAAAGCATAGGACCAATGGCGGGTTCAAGTTTCAACCGCTTAAACCCTAAACCCTTCAGGGTTGAGGGTTTAGGGTTTAAGATGGTTTAGGATGGTTTAGGATGGTTTAGGGTTTAGGGTTTAGGGTTTAGGGTTTAGGGTTTAGGGTTTAGGGTTTAGGATGGTTTAGGGGCCCCAAGGGGCTTGGAGTTTAGGGTTTTAGTTGAGGATGTAGGGTTGGAGGCGCCAGGTCTCAGATGCATCTCTCAGTATCTTCGATGCCTGGAACCTAGCCCGACCTACTTGGAGGTTCATGGATAGTGACAAGAGGGGCTATAAGTCCCTTCGTGTAAGTTATGCGTTGGATGATATAAATCCTGCATTACCCATAATACGGAATATACCATAACTTCCCATAGTTTAGGGTCAACCCGTAACTATACTTATCCTACTTGTTGCCCTACTGATAGAACTACCCATGGACCTCCAAGTAGCCCTTCAAAGATGCACCACGGAATCATAAGGGTTTAGGGTTTAGGGTTTAGGGTTTAGGGTTTAGGGTTTAGGGTGGGGCCCTTAAAGGGTACCATAGGGGAATCATAAGGGTTTAGGGTTTAGGGTTTAGGGTGCCTTGACGAAAGAACCCCTGCAGGAGGAAGACCTGTAGTAGGACTCCTACCAGGGGCCCTAAACTCGGACTTTCAAAGGTTTTAGGGTTTAGGGTTTAGGGTTTCGGGTTTAGGGTTTAGGGTGTAGGGCTTAGGATTTTAGGGTTTTAGGGTTTAGGGTTTAGGGTTTAGGGTTTAGGGTTTCGGGTTTAGGGTTTAGGGTTTAGGGTTTAGCGAGTGCCAGAAGCATGAACCAATTTGCCGACCTGCCTGCAACCTGCGCCATGTCTCCGTCCATCTCTGTCGACCCTCCTGCGCAAGGCCCGGCACGGAAACTTCGGGTCAGGGAGGCCAGCCTGACGCTTGAGGGCGAGCTTTGGGGTTTAGGGTTTAGGGTTTAGGGTTTAGGGTTCAGGGTTTAGGGTTTAGGGTTTAGGGTTTAGGGATGTTGCTCTAAATTTCGATCCCATTGCTGCTGATGAACTTCACACGTAAAGGGTACCATAAAGGTTGATGGTACCCGCCCTGCCTTAATGAAAAAGCTTTGGCTATCAGGTGCTGACGACTCCGTCTTGAAAAAACTGGGCCTAGCGTGGTAGCTTCGGGCGTGGCTTAGAAAGCGTGTGGAGATTAGGGATGTCGGATCTTTGGCATTTAGCACTTTGCTCGATTATGCGGCTAGGGCTCACGGATCGGGCTTAAAGTGATTGAGAGTTGCTCTGAGGATTGTGTTCAGGGAGGAGGTTCACGGATTGGGCTTTCCGCAGGTCGGACTGTTGGTTTGGGGCTGGCCCTAAACCCTTAACTTAAGCCCTGGGCCTGCGCAAACGTGCGGATAAAGATTGAGGGCGACAGAAGCTTGGAGGATGACTCTCCCAGGTGGCTCTCCAGCTGCCTGACGTGCGGACTCAGGGGTCTTAAGATGTTTGGGTTTAGGACTGAGGGTTTGAAATCTATAGGGTTCAGGGTTTGGGGTGCAGGGTGCAGCACCTGGGTGTAGGATTTCGGGTGTTGGGATGTTTTGGGTACAAGAAGCGTGCAGGGCACCAGTTGGAACCTCCAATGCGGGGTGTCATGTTCATCCATCAATGCCCTACTACAGCCGGGATACAGGAGTGCCTTGTGGGGAACGCTGATGCATAGTTAAGCAGAAGAACGCCCAGGCATGAGGGCGTAGGGGTTCAGGGTTATGGGTATAGGGAAAGGACTCAAATGTTTCATAGAAAGATCCCCAAGAAAATTACGACCTTTAAGACTTCCAAAAAACGACGAGCACAAGGACCCTGGAAGTTCTGACCAGAAAGAAGGTTCAGCTCTTGAGGAACTGGGCCAAAACCCTAAACCCTAAACCCTAAACCCTAAACCCCGCCTCCAACTCCGAACCGCCGTCTGCTCCTTCTCCCACAAGAGCCTTTGTACAAAAGACCAGAAATGCTACGGTTTAGGGTTCAGGGTTTAGGGTTTAGGGTGGTACATACAAGAGGGTTTCAATGCTGAGGCATTCGGTACATTCAATACTGGGATGCGCGATAAAACCGCAAAGAAGCTTGACACCAATACCTGCAACTTCCATGATTGTGCAGGCTTGTCCACACAGCAATAGATGCAGGGCACAAAACCCTAAACCCTAAACCCAAGAACTCATCACCTGTCACCCGAACCCTGGACGCCAATTGTCTTCTGCTCCGAAGCCAAAATCTTCGGGTCCTAGACCTAAAATCACACAATACCCACATCCTCAGCTCCAGCCACCAACATCTTCGAGCCAAACCCTAGGGTTTTTGGGGTTTAGGGTTTGGGGTTTAGGGCCCTAAACCCTAAACCGCCTGATTTCCACGCCCTCAGCTCCCAGCCCCCGAAATCAAAACCCGAAGAAACCATAGCAATCTCTAGCTTCAGGAAGGGCCCTTACGCCCGAGGCAGCCTGGGGTGCAGGAATCAGAAACCCCAAGCCCCTAATATCCTAAACCCTAAACCCTAAACCCTAAACCCTGACTACTTGTACTATTTTGGAAGTTCCTTGTTATAAGTACAGTAAGTATACCCCAAGACCCTATTGATAATTGTCAAGGCCCCTACATCGACTTAATCCTCACCACTTAGCCCCCGGAGCCGCCGGGACATGAGATCTAAATCTAAGTAACGGTTTAGGGTTTGGGGTTTAGGGTTTAGGGTTTAGGGTTTAGGGTTTAGGGTTTAGGGTTTAGGGTTTAGGGTTTAGGGTTTAAGTCACAAACCCGAAGGCCCCAAACCCTCAAGCCACTGATCGCTAGATCCGTCGAAACTTCAAAACCCTAATGTAGGGGCCTCAATACTTAGAATAGGGTTTTGGGGTCCATTATACTATAAACACAATAAGGAACCCCCAACATAGTATCTGTAATTCTTTTTGCCCCGAAACTTCACTCCCAGACTCCAAGCATCTCAAAGCCCGTGAGCCTGAAACCCCTCTAAGGCTTAGGGTTTAGGGTTTAGGGTTTAGGGTTCAGTGTAACAATCATATACTCCATCCGATACGCGCCTCAATTGCTTCGAACCCTAGCTAGAGTACAGAAGTATAGGGTGCCGTGGACCCAGAAAACCTTCTAACATCCTATAACAACCCGTGCACAACCAGTATGGAACTCTTCTAGAACCGAACCTTTCCATAAGTATTGGGACCTGTGCCCACAGGGCCCCAAACCCTAAACCCTAAACCCTAAACCCCCCTGAACCTAAACCCTACACCCTAAACCCCAAACCCTAAACCCTAAACCCACACCACCGGCCCGCGAGTTCTCATACCTTCTCATGGTTTAGCCGTAGCTCTGCTCCGAGAGGGCGGCTCCGCACGACAAACATCCTGATTTCTGGCTTGCTTTGGGGTTCAAGGTTGTTTGTATGTCTCTTTTCTGGGTGGCTCTGGGGGTTCAAGGTTGTTTGTGTGTCTCTCTTGTTTGGGAGGCAGGGGTTTTGGGGTCTTTGGGTTTAGGATTCAGGGATTAAGGTTTAGGGAGGGTTTAGGCTCTGGCTTTGGGGTTTAGGGCTTATTTTTAGGGATGGTTTGTGATTTAAGGCTTTGGGCAGTGGTGAAGCAGAGACGGCTTTGCGTCATGCGCGGAACCGTGTCGCCATAGGGCTTGGACTCCACTCCCTGTGCCCGATCCTCGCCAGTATTCGGATTGTTCTTGCCGGCTGTGCTCTCAGCAGCTATATGCCTGCAAATTACAAAATTTAAGGTAGAACTCGTTGCCCAAAGGCTGCAAGTACGCAGTAAATTTCTACTTCGGGGTCTTACATCGTTTCAGATCGTGGCTACTTTGGGCTCTTTGTTTCCGAGATTTAGGTTCAAACTCTGGAGCTGTTTGGCTTGGCCAGTCGGGATGTGGGCCTAAGCAGGTTTGCAGCTTTGCAAAATGAACAGCGGTTTTAGGGTTGCAAAATGAGCAAGGGTGTTAGGGTTTAGGGTTTAGGGCTAAACCCAACAAAAAACCAAGACGCTGTAAAACCTCGTAAAGCCCTGAACCCAAGCGCAAGAGCAGACTACTTTTCAAACGAGGAACAATGCAACTTGTGCTCTGCGCACGCACACACTCCTAGCCCACCCTACACCCAAAACACGAAGCCCAAAAACAACGAATCATAGGCGGCTCGTCATGCAAACAGGTTTTGCCTATGGAGCTCCCAAACCGCTAATCTCCGAGCCCAATTCACCCTACTACGTAGGCACGAAGACGTAATGCGAAGAGGTATAAACTAACATGCTACTGATGCTGGCCCTCCGGAACCTACAACCATTTATTAAACTCCACATTCGGATCTAAAAGCTAGGGCCAGGGATGAGCACTTCTTGTCCGCAGACTGACACAAAAGGCTCTTGACGATTAAATCCAACAGCTTGATTCGATTCAATGAACCCAAGAGCCTACGCCGTAGTCCACAGATGCCCTAAGCCTAAGCCTAAACCCTAAACCTTACGCCGTAGTCGACGGATGCCTGCACAGCATCAGACATCAAGAGATCCGAGCATCGACACCGCTTTGCAGCATCCTCCGTTTGCAGGGGCCTGCAGACGCTTTAGACTTTCGGGTTTCCGGGCAGACACCGTTACCCTAAACCCTAAACCCTAAACCCTAAACCCCAGAGTGGTGATTTCAGTTTTAGTGTTTCGAGGGGGTGGGGTTGCAGAGTGGGCATCAGACCTGGCCTAGTCACTATAGTCAGTGAATCGAAACTGAAGAGTACATCGGGCTCGTTCTGTAGTGGTGGCAGGAAGCTTATAGCCTAGGGTTTACGGTGAGGAGACGAGATCGAACTGCTTTGGCACAAGACGAAAAGGAGAAAAACACATGACAAGAAATTGCCTTTGCCACGGCCATCTATGACAGCGCTCTTGCTTCATTTCAGTTTTCAGGTGGTCAGGCGATGGCTGAGGTCCACTGTCCACTGTGCGATTGACACACAGCACATGCCTTGCTGGCACCGAGGCTCATGTCCGAGCCAGAGCCGTCTATAACATAACTCATGGCGAGTTTCAAAACTCCAGCAATGGCAGAGAGTCCACTGTCCATTGATGGACACGCAGCACATTGCTGCCGCGTTCAACCCTTGTTTCAACAAGCATGGAACATGGCACATGAAGATGCGCGAAGCATCCTGATTCTTCTGAGATTCCATGCTCCTTTGAAACAAGAGACCTTTACAATGTTAAGGGACAATAGGAGGGACCCCTAGAAGGGACCCCTTATCCCTATATAACTCCAAGGGTTCCTTTAAGGGTCCCTCCTTTAGTCCTTTTGCAATCTCACTTTGATTCTGTACATCGCGACGTGAACTCGCTTAGGATTCCGTGCATTTCGGAGAGCCTCACGCTGCTGACAAAGCTTTAGCCGCGTCCTTGATGCGCAAGTAGGGGATGTGCTCGTTGGGCAGAGGCAGCTTGTAGGAAAAGTCGCAAGGGTAGAACTTGGGGACGTCTGCAGAGACGGTATGACCCAGCAGTGATGATTCCCAGCGTTCCATTTTCGAGCAAGGGAGTTCCACCTTGAAGTCGGCCCACTGGTTGTAGCTAACAATACCTGCCTGACATGACAGCGTGGACCCCTCTCTCTCTGTTTCTGTCCCTCTCGCTCTCTCTCTCTCTGGCTCTCTCTCTCTCTCTCTCTCTCTCTCTCTCTTCTCTCTCTCTGTGTCTCTCTTTCTCTCTTTCTCTCTCACTCTCTTTTGTTCTGCGAGTTTGTTCGCTTCAAAGCATAAGAACCAGCTGAGTTATCTGGGGTTCGTTCGTGCGAAGTTTGGTTGGACTCATGGTCCACAATGATGAAGATCAACCCTAGAGCAAAGAAGGCCTGCACACTGTTGGCGTTGATGTCAAGCGCTTCCATCAAGCGGGTAGGTGCAGCTACCCAGTCTTTCAAACTGGGAATCTCCTTCAGATCGTCCAATAAGTCGTTCAAGCCACAATTGTCAGCAGTGCCCAAGTCCTGGATGAAAGTGCAAAAGCCAAGTGATACTCACTCACAGCCTGAGATCTCTGGAGCTACAGCAGGCTGGTGTCTCTGTCGATTTTTGAGAAAATTAGACGTGAACAAATCATCATAATCATGAAACCATCAAACGAAAACAAATGCAACACAACATCAACCCGGCCCAAGACGAGAACAGAGTACTGATGTTGGTTTGAAAGAGAAGTCCTAAACCCTAAACCCTAAACCCTAAACCCTAAACCCTAAACCCTAAACCCTAGTCCTTCAGCTGCATCTTCAGCCCATCCAACTCCTCCGCGCGTTCCTTCACCCCTGGGGCCTCAGCCTTGAGGTTCCCCAGCGAGTCAAAGAGATCCTTGGGATTTGACCCCTACAGCCTAAACCCTAAACCCCAACACCACAAGAAACACAAGTCTCAGAAGCCGACTTGAGCCTACTTGCCAAAACCAAGATGGTGTTCATATCAAGAGTCTAGAGTCCAGAACTCCAGAGTCAGAGTCTAGAGTTTAGGGTTTAGGTTCTAGGGAAGATAGTGTTCATGTCAGACATCTGCAAGATCATGCTCCAGCGCCCCCTTAGCCCTGTACTCCATATACCCTTATATACCACTACATACTCCCATATCCCCTACATACCCAAACCCTAAACCCTTATCCCTAAACCCTACACCCTAAACCCTAAACCCTATACCCTAAACCCTAAACCCTAAACCCTAAACCGTATACCCTAAACCCTAAACCCTATACCCCGTGCCCAGGGAGCAGAAGCCAAGGATCCTTAACCTCGCTCAAGTCGGAGATTTGCTTCACTGCGTCAAGCAAGGGAACCTGCTTCTTCTAAGTGGGCTTTAGGGGTTTAGGGTTTAGGGGTTTAGGGTGTAGGGTTTAGGGTTTAGGGGTTTAGCGTTCAGAGTTTAGGGCTGAGGGTTTAGAATGTTAGGCATAGCATTCGGAATCAGGGGGAGAACCATTTGAGATACACAGCCATACAGCCCATGCAAGAAGCCAAGGGTACTTGAAGCTGAGACACACAACATGAGCCACGGGTACTTGAAGCTACGACCGTTCCAAAAAAGATGTGCCGCAGAAGACACACCATATGAAAGCGCTCTCTGGTTAAAGGAAACACCCTAAACCCTAAACCCTAAACCCTAAAATAACGGTGTTGGACCTGAGCATGGCGCACCACTACTAGTAGAAAAGTCCCGGGAACCCGACCATGCCAGCCACAAGCAGGCGCGAACCACGTACTATAGGGGGGTTTAAGGTTTAGGGTTTAGGGTTTAGGGTTTAGGGGTTTAGGGTTTAGGGTTTAGGGTTTAGGGTTTCGGGTTTAGGGGCCTTCTAATAATTACCTCTACTCTTTTTTGGGGTGGGGTCCTTTGTATATGTATACTAGAATATACCCCAAAGCCCGCTTATTATTGAGGCCGGCCGTATTTTTTTTATACCACAGCCCTTAGAGCATCCTAAGAACTCCGAAAAACCCTGAAACCTAAACCCCAAGCCATCCTGAACCCCCCTGAACCACTAAGATCCTTAAAGCCCTAAGGGCTTAGGGTTTAAGGTTAAGGGTTTAGGGTTTAAGGTTTAGGGTTTAGGGTTTAGGGTTTAAGATCCTTAAAGCCCTAAGCCCAAAGGACCGAAGCTACAAACCCCAGGGAAAACTGTGGGAGAAAGCCTACAGCGCAGCAGCTGCCGCACAGCTTTCTGTTCGAGGCGGGTGAGCCTACTATGGGGGCCTCAATCATGAGAATTACTGTAATTCTAATAAGGAACCGCCGAAACCTTATTCTAATTATTAAGGCCCCTACACTACCTAGAGTCCTCGAGGGCAGGGCTTCATAGGTTCCTTGAGGGGGTCCTCCTCTAAGTTAGGACCGCTTTCTGGATCCCCAAATAGTACGGTACCCCTGTTAAAAAGGACCCTAAACGCGACCCTGGTTTAGAGGACTACCAAGGTGAGTTCGTTTTAAACCCACCTTGCTAAGGGCCCAGATCATGTAAGCAGATCCGGGCCCACTTGAAGTGGTTGCTGGTTGCAAGGTGAATGCATGCACAAAACGAGACACGAGCATACTAACAAAGGAACATGCCTTAAACTATGGTAGCCTGCCCTTTGAATATGGCAAATTCTACTTCCACATCATCCTCTTGCTACTCTTTTTAGTCTGATCCAAGGCCCTATCCCTAGACCCTAAACCCCTAAACCCTAAACCCCGAATCATCCCCGGCGGGCCCCTGAGGTGCCAGCAGTCCGAATGATTGCTAGGTCCAGAGGCTAGCAAGGAAGGTGGGCCTAGACCTTTTGTCAAAGCAGTCTGACAAAACATGAAAGCCAGCCCCAACTGAAAACTCCCCAGGATAAACATCGCGAATCCGGGACCCTAAACCCTAAACCCTAAATCCTAAACCGGGATTCTAAACCCTAGGCCCTCTGGGTGCTCGGCCTTTCCTTCTTGGAGATGTTCGATGACGGCCGTGACTGAGCTTTCCAAAGCCTCCAGCACTCCATCGAGCGCATCTAGGGTCTTCTGTGACTGCTTCTGGATGTTCTCCACCTGAGGGTTTAGGGTTTAGGGTTTAGGGTGAACATCCTGTGCTCACGGGATATGTGCAAAAGCACAAAAGCTGCGTTGACTCTGGCCCCTTGCACCAATCTTAGAGCCTTCAACTTCAAGTTCTGGAAGAAGTCCTTGACGACTTCGATCTTCATCTGTAGCTTCTTGAAGGCTTCCTCCGCGGTTCAGGGTTTAGGGTTTAGGGCATGTCATCCGCGGCGTTGGATTCTCACAAGGTGTCTCTGCAAAAGCAACATGGTGCGCGTGACGACAGTCTGCAAGCCAACCCTGAAATCTGAACCCATTTGGTAGAAGGAAAATTCAATGAGTTTCCCTGAGCGTCCATGTACCCAACTAGTATGTACTTTGGCCCCAAAGTACCTCTATAGGGACTGCTTTAAAGGCCAAAGTAACTTAATTCCCAGAGTTTAGGGTCCTTCAGGTAATGCAAGATTTTAGATCATCAACAGTATTTGGGCACATGGACCCTTAGGGTTTGCTCCATCACCCCAAGGCCCTACCCCACAGCCTCTGTGGCGTTCGCCTTGCAATGCAGTGCCTGCGGCAAATCGTTTGCCAGCATCTGAGGCACCTCCGGGGTCGAGACCAGATAGGGGCTATAGAGGGATATACAAGGGCTAGTTCAAAATGACAGAGGCAGAAAATTAAATAAAAGCACCCACCCGGCAAAGTGCCATTTAGGGCTTTGTGTCCCCAAGCCATAGACCCTAAAACCCTAAACCCCTAAACCGTCTAGGGTCCTCCGAGGCGATCACCAGGGGTTGAAGCAGGCCGGTGAGGACGAAGGTCTCAACGAAGTCTTTGATTCCTGTCCCAAGATCCTGCTGTCTCTGCTTTGGGGGGACCCTGAGGTTACTAATGGCCTAGGTAACCTATTTATAAAGAGTTACAGCGGGTTGCAACGAGATTATTAGGGGGGTGTAGCATATTATTGCATGAGACGACAATCTGCATGGCGAAGTTAGACACATCAGAAACCTGCAGACTAGCTGCCTTTGCATGCTTAAGGAGAAAGGATGGAACAGAGCCCACCATTTTGGCCACCCTTTACAAGGTCAGCGGCCATTTGAATTTGGGGGTTTCGAAAATAGGGGACCCTAATATAATCCATATTATAAGGACCCCAAAATAAGGTACCCCTTATTTTCGGAAACTCCCATTTTTGCTGACTACGGAATGACGGTTAGCGAGCTGTCCTGCGCGGCAGACTTGAAGTAGTCCAACAGAACACCGTGGATCAGATGACATGCGCCACCACCAACACAGGCGCCGATAGCTACTGACATGGAGGTGTAGAGCTCCAAGTCAACAGGCGCCGCCTGGATGACGTAGTCGTCTCCGGCAGTCAGCTGCTGCACCACTGCCTCATGTGCTGAGAACAGGATAATGAATCCAAACTTAAGACTTTCACTGAGTACTTTGGAATGCCAAAATGTCAGAAAAAAAGAAATGAAAGAGCGCTGTGCTACGGGCTTGTTGGTCTGTACATCGAAGCCGTTCTTGACCAAGCATGCAAACATCTCCGACGCGGCTGTCAGGGCCTTGGCAGATGGCTCCGAGTCGAACTCAGACGCTTGCTCCAGGAAGCCCTTCAACTTGCCGAGACAGCTACAGGTCCTTTCGGCGGTTTCAACCAATGATCCCACGCCGAAGTGATCACAAGGAGAGACGTCCTCCCTCGGTTCAAACGGTTTGCTGAACTCTCCTATGGCGTAGAGGCGAACTCCTCAAACATCGAGCTAACAGAAGAAACACAGATAGTTAAAGGTGGCACATCCAAGTTTCCAGTCGATGTGCAAGGCATTGGGCACTTTCACACATGTCTCGCCACAATGTTGCTTGCTGGCGCCTGTGCACGGGATATCCACGCAAGTCTCCCCGCACTTCGACTTGCTGCAACCGAACTCTGGCTTGTTGACGCACATCTCCCCACACTTACTTTTGGAGCAGCCGCACTTCAGGAAACCCCAACAGCAGCACTTGTTCGTGCATGCCTGGCTTGTCCAGCCGCAACAGTTGTGGGTGCAGGACTCCTGCCCACATGACCAGCTACACACATTGGTGGTGCATGCGTCCCTGTAGGACATCGTCGCACCCGTGGGCATATTGAGGCTGGTCTCACAGAAGCCCCGGCCAATGCGACTGCACACTCCCTCCACCACATCAACTTCGCCCAGCTGCCGTGGCGGGGTCATGTCCGATGATGCGGAAGCGGAAGATAGGCACAAAGCCACCAGGAACCCTAACTTTGCCGCCATTGAGTAACCTGATGGCGGGAATGCAGGTAAGCGCGTGAGCGTCTCCGTCTGGAACTGCCAAAATGCTGCAGCAGTGATGCGAAGACACTGAGAAGTACACACGATTACCCCGGCCGAAAACACCCCTACCCTGAAGTAGAGTTTCAGGCTCAGGATTTAAGGCAAGAGGGCCTGACGAAGGTCTTGTGCCCGTTTTGGGCTCAATCGGTTTCGGGTGCGGCGAAGGTGCTGCACCTGCTAATTCGCCTGCTCTGGGTGCATGCAACGGTTTAGGGCTTAGGGTTTAGGGTTTCGGGTTTAGGACACGGACACTCCTCGCACAGTCTGTTCACGATAGGCATTTGTCCAGAACAGTGTATCTGCAAACAGCAACCCTAAACTTCCATGCCAGACCAAAGTAACCTAATCCTTGAGAAAGGCTTGGCCGTACGGCGGGTTGAAACGATGAGTGAACCTCAACCCTGAAGTAAGCCGAGGTGTCAACATGGGATTCAGATTTAGGGTTTCGGGCCCCTGCGGAACTCGAAAACATCAAACCCTAAACCCTAAACCCTAAACCGCCCTAAACCCTAAACCCACATCTCCAACCCCCCCCCCAAAACCCCGAATACCCAGCCACCACAAATATAAGAACCCGACAACATAAGCCCCTTATGATCGAATCCTGCTAAAACCAAAATATGATAATATAATAAGCATATAAAGGCCCTGTACGAAACTTTCACACCCTCATGGACAGGCCCTGGAAACAAAAACACTCTGAATACCGTCACAAAATTGCTATACATTTCGAGCTACTGACTAAGAGAATCTATCAAAGCCCTTTCAAGACAAAAACACCTTCCGGGCTCTCCTGCAGTAAACCCTAAACCCCTAAACCCTAAACCCTAAACCCTAAACCCCTAAACCCCTAAACCCCTAAACCCTAAACCCTAAACCCTAAACCCTAAACCCTAAACCCCAACCCACTTCTGCCTCCCGAGCTCGGCGAGCTCTTCGCCGCAGTGCAGGCAGCGCAGGCGCCTCGCCGTGTCCCAAGCTCTGCAGCGGTCGCCTCGGCAGATGGACCCTCAAAAGGTAGGGTTTGGGGTTTTGGGGTTTTGGGGTTTTGGGGTTTAGGGTTTAGGGTTTAGGGTTTAGGGTTTAGGGTTTAGGGTTTAGGGTTTTGGGGTTTAGGGTTTAGGCGGTTTAGGGTTAACCCTAAGAGCCCAAAGCCCTAAACCCTAGCTTAACCTACCAAAGCCTACTTTTTGGTTAGGGTCCCTATAAATTCCATATTAGGGTTTATAATAAGAGCCTACAAAAAAGTAGGCTTTGGTAGTTTAAGGTAGCTTTAAGGGGGACCCAAAAAGGGACCCTAAAAGGGACCCTTAAAGGGTACCTATAAGGGGAGCCTAAAACGGACCCTCAAAAGGTAGCTTTAAAGGGGACCTCTAAAGATATCTGTAAGGGGAGCCTAAAAGGGACCCTCAAAAGGTACCTTTGAGGGGATTTCCAAAAAGGGACCCTTACAGGGACCCTGCTTAAAGGAACTCAAAAGTATCCTTTGAGGTTTCTTCGAAGAGGTTCGTTTAAAGTTTAAGGGTTCTATAACCTCTGAGTGTCCTTTTAATCTAGGTTGGCCTCTCAAAGCCTCTGACCAATATTCGTAAACAAGATCCTCTTGAGCCCAATAAGGGAAAATATAAAATGTCCCAAAGGCCGACCTTAAGGTTCCTTTGAGGATACTTTCGAAGGGTTAAGGGGCTTTCAAGGTTTAGGGTTTGGTCGGGTCGGTGGATGGTCGTTGGTAGCAGCCTCATGGGGTTTCTAGAAGGATCCTACAAGGGCTCCAACAGGAGCATTTGCATTCGAGTCTTACGGTTTTCGGGTTCCCTAAACCCCAAACCCTAAACCCTAAACCCTAAACCCTAAACCCTAAACCGGTTTTCGGATCAGGAGTTTGGGGTTGCAGGGCTGCTAGACCCGAAGAGCCGACGACACCTGATCCGCTCACAATAAACTAAACTGGGCAGTTCGCGAATTTAGGGTCCCCTTTAAGGTCCGTGTATAAGGGTGCTGTACTACTGTTGGGACCTAAAAAGGGAAGCCCAGAAGAACTCAACCTGAAAGCCCTGAACCCCTAAACCCTCAGAGCCCTAAACCCCCATGCAAACCCCCTGAACCCTAGAGATCTATCCAGAGACTCCAATATCCCTTAATTAAGGAATATACCTTAAATTATAGTAGGATCCCTAATGTGATTTAAGGTATATTCCTTAATTAAGGGATATTGGAGTCTCTAGGTACTACAACCCTTGGAAAGCCCGAAAATTCAGAGTCGATAATATGAGGGTTTCCGAAAATAGGGGACCCTAATATAGTACCCTAAATAATAGGATCCCTATTATAAGGACCCCAAAAGAAGGTACCCCAATTTTGGGAAACCCCCATATGGACCTTCGATCAATGAAGCCGCCTCCCCAAGGCTCAGAATAGTAGGATCCCTAGCCCTATACCCTAAACCCTATACCCTAAACCCTATACCCTAAACCCTAAATCCTAAACCCTAAATCGTAAACCCTAAATCCTAAACCCTGAACCCTAAACCCTAACCCCTCTATAAAAAGAAACCGGCGGCCAACCAGGTGGATAGGCCGAAGTCGGTGACTTTGACATCGTACCTGGGCCGGCCGTCGTGAGTATTAGGGTTTAGGGTTTAGGGTTTAGGGCTTAGGGTTTAGGGCTTAGGGTTTAGGGTTTAGGGTTTAGGGTTTAGGGTTTAGGGGATATAGACCCTCTCAATAATAAGGTCCCCTTTAAGAGAGCCACAGAAGTAGGGTTAAGAAGGGTCCCCTCCATAAGGGGCCTCCCTAAAACTACCTAGGAGGAGCCCTAAACTCTAAACTCGAATCCCTACCCTAAACCCTAAACCCTAAACCCTAAACCCTAAACCCTAAATCCTAAACCCTATGAACCCTAAGTCCCTAGAGGTCCCTTGTAGGAATCCTCCGACCATCAGCCCCGTAGGTGTGGGGGGGTTTCTAGGAATTTACTTAAAGGATCATGGGACTTAGAAACTAAGGTTTAGGATCTAGGTTTCAGGGGTTTAGGGGTTTTGAGGGTGTAGGGGTTTAGGGTTTAGGGTTTTGGGTTTAGGGTTTTGGGTTTTGGGCTTAGAGTTTGGGGTTTAGGGTAGTTAAAGGATCATGGGACTTAGAAAAAAAGGTTATTATTAGGATATCTATACTTATAATTGCTTATAACCCCAATTGAGGTACTTATAACCATACTTAACCTCCAAGTAGGGATCTAAGTTTTAGGGTCGTAGGGTTTAGGGTTTAGGATTGTAGGATTTAGGGCTTAAGGGTTTTAGGAATTTAAGGCTGAGGGCTGCAGGGGTTTTAGGAGCTTGGGGCTTCGGAACTTGGGCTTAGGGTTAGTAGGGCTTAGGGGTTAGGGCTGAGAGTTTGTTTGCGCAGTTTCGGGTTTAGGGTTTCGGGTTCTGGCCAGTTTTCAAATTAGGGGCTTAGGGTTTTGTAAGCAATTAAGGTTTTAGCGTTGGGGTTTGGGGTGTCAAACAAAAAAACCAAAACCCCCAGCGAGATTCCAAAACCCGTTACCCTAAACCCTAAACCTTAAACCCTTCATCCTGAACCCTAAACCCTAAACCCTAAACCCTAAACCCTAAACCCTTAATCCTGAACCCCAAATCCTAAACCCGGCCATCAGCTTCAGGATGCTTAGGGCTTAGGGGTTTTGCGGCTTAGGGGTACTAGCATTTAGAGGCCTTCGGGTTAAGGGTTGTAGAGTTTTGTACGCAGGGTGTGGGGCTTGGGGTTTAGCCTAAACCCTAAACCCTAAACCCTAAACCCTAAACCCTAAACCCTAAACCCTAAACCCTAAACCCTTAGGCTTACGCAAGGCTTTTGAATTTGAAGCTGCATACTATGCCGGCCATATAGGAGCTCTATACAGGTTTCGCAGGGCTCTATTTATTCTGCAAGGGAACTAGGCGCAGAAAAGTATGCGTTTTCTTGCTCAGCGCTCATAACTCGTGTACTATGCTAGAAGCATACAAGGACTAGAAGTGCAGGTCACTAACTACTTGGAACCTAAACCCTAAACCAACCCAAAACCCCTCAACCCCAAAAACGAAACCCCACAACCCTAAAACAGAAACCCCTCAACCCTAAACCTTGAACCCTCAACCCCTAAACCCTAAACCCCTGAACTCTAGACCCTGTGACCTTTTGTTGAGGTCTTCGGGTTGGCCTGGCATTTCCCATATGCTACGTAACGAGAAGAGCATGCAACCCTGCCTCTGTTAGGGTCTCCGTGTAGTTCGGGCTTACTTACGAGTTCTACAAGGGTTTGGCAAGCTTTCCATGAAGGTTCTTTCAGCCTTTAGTAGGCGCGCGGCCTCCCCCTCCCCCAGCCCCAGTCACCGCAAAAAAACTTGCCTTACCTTCAATATAAAGGAAGAGGAAATGGACACAGAAACGAGCGGCTCAAAAGAAAAACAAAAAGCAAACTTCTTCCTGCAGTCCGGCGGGCAGCAGGCACTCTAAGGGCTCCGGCGCCGGAACGGAGCTCGAGATCAGCACGTTCTCGAGCTTTAGGTCGCCTTCGAAGTTTCGGAAGCAAGGAGGAGTTGGGTCTTGACTAGCAGTTTAAGAAAACAAAGGGTAGGGTTTGGGGATCGTGTCTTTGGGGTTGGTATATTGCGGCCTTTGGCTGGCTTTGAACAGAACGGTCTTACAAGAAAAGCGAAGTTGTTGTGCGGAGTGGTTCGGACTAGGCCTAGGTTCAAGATATTCCAGGGGTTGAGTTTTTTTCAGAAGTGTGCTCTACGGCTTGTCAAAGGGAAGTTGTACAACTTCTACTACACAAAAGCGAGTAGGGCTCAGGGTTTGGGATGTAGTGGTTTAGGGTTTAGGATGTTGGGTTTACGGCCCAGAGACTTCGCTGCCTGCACTGCAGCTCGTGCTGAAACACTAGCGATCTGGCCTCAAGGTTCAGAAACCCTGAAGCTTGCGTACACACGGTTTAGAGTTTAGGGTTTAGGGTTAAGGGTTTAGGATTTAGGGTTTAGGGTTTGCGTACTCAACAACTACACTTCTGTCATGACGTGCACAAATCATGCTGCTCACACTGCTGCACTTTCCATCACCTTCCTATCGTGGCTGAACCCTAAACCCTAAACCCCTAAACCCCTAAACCCTAAACCCTAAACCCTAAACCCTAAACCCTAAACCTCTAAACCCTAAACCTAAAACACATGGGAGTTTCCGAAAATGATGGGTACCTTATTTGGGGTCCTTATAAAAAGGATCCTACTATTTGGGGTACTATATTAGGGTCCCCTGTTTTCGGAAACCCCCACATCCTAAATCCTTAACCCTAAACCTCTAAACCCAAAACACCAAGCCCTTACACATCCCTGAACTCAGGTGGAGTGCTCACAAGGCAACTGTGAGCACCCTCGCATCGGAAGAACACCAAACCCGAACGGCCCTATGAACGCTGTAAAGCCCAAGAAAGCCTACAGAACCCTGACATAGCCCCTTGTGCAACAGTTGCTTAAACATTCCAGACCTCATACAGGCTCGGCAAACTCTGATAATTCATTTACGAAAACCCGCAACTGCCCCACAAACCATCATAAAAGCCCGCACAGCCCACCATCAAAACCCCATAAACTAATCCCTGATCAGAACAGGGCAGGAACCCTAATAACACCCATCTTCCTCTTTGTTTAAGTCAGTCGCGGTGGATCACCCGGCGCTGGTGCATGTACCTGGTGCTTTCCAGCCCCGAATATTTAGGGCTTTCGGGTTTCAAAAGAGCCCCTCTGTGGGTCGGCTGCAGACTGGCTTGCATATCGAATCTGAGGGTTTAGGGTTACGGGTTTGGGTTTAGGGCTTAGGGTTTAGGGCTTAGGGCCTGGAATCTTCAGCCGTCCTGTGGAATAGTGACTTCCTGGTGTGCCATGATGCTGCTTCCGTTGCAATGGGGCTACCACAAGGGTTTCTTGCATTTTCCGTGTGACTTGCAACTAACATGAAACGAGAC